GTGTAACGATTATATATCAGCTAACATTTTTTGAGCACTTTCTATAAATCAGGCATTGAGTCTTAACTCACTTAATCTGAACCTATGAAGGTAAGTACTTTTATCCTTGTTTTCCAAATAAGGAAACAGACCATAGAGTTTCAGCAATTTATTTAAGATTACACCATGAAGTGCTTTACATACAATTAAATCTAATGTTCTAAGGATTTATGGTTTAATGTGATTTTTCTTCTCCTTGTTTTGTGCTGTACCACAATTAGGATGCAAAAGTAAGTTTATTATTGGATACCAAAAATTTACATTGTTTCCCCCATTAAAATATAGTGTTGCCATTTAATTACAAAATTGTTGCTAGTAATACCTGGAAGTTGACCTTTTTTATTTTGTGATGTACAATATCAGCCACTTTGGAAAATTTTCAAACAATTTTTTTCGAGATATGCCTGCTTTGTTTTGTCTTCCTTTGACACTTAAGAACAAGTATTGGTTGCTAGACAGGACAAACATGCCTTTTGTCTCAGAACATTCTTTCTATATGTGGCCTCCACTGGCGCCACTGGTTGTCCTGGGGAGGTCTGGGAAGGTGGCTGGCTGTTTCTGAAGCCTTGTCACTGTGGACAGTCAAGTAGAAAGTTCAAGAGGGAAGACATTTCTATAAATGCATGTGACAAAAAAGAGCATGGAAAACATTAGGTGAAGAATTGTGGGAACTTGGTGGGTGGTGGTGGTGGCTTCCTGCTTTTTGTCTGGAAGAGGTTTTGAATTTAACCAAGAAGATAACTTATCTTTCCTGTATGTAATTGAGTAGCAGTGAGTTCATAAACTGCCAGGGAAATTGCATTGAGCCTGACTGCTTTTTGTGTTACAGCAAAGGTATCCAGCACATTGGTAGGTAATCAGTATGTGTTTAATGAATGCTGAAAACGTCCTTCTGTGGTCTCCAATGTTTTGGGCACAAAACCCTAAATAACCACGGGCTGTCACTAGTAGAATGTACCTATTACACTAAATTGCTTTCTTTATTCTCTAAAACGAGCATGTCGTCCTTCCATGTCAATTTTTCACGTTCTCAAGACTCCCTGGATCTGCTTACCAGAGTCTCACATTTTCCCTTCACAGGAAGCTGAAACCCCACGTAGTGTTCTTGAAGAAATTGGACTGACATAACTCTCCTCCCTTGTTGATGACTTCTTGTGGCATTTCACACACTGTAGATGGTCACTGCCTTCATGTCCATGTTAGCTAATGGTATAAGATGATGTCTTGTCAGTATTACTGTTTTGCTAAGCCGCTTCATTCAAGCCTACACAATTTTTTTTAAAGGGAACTTTGATTAATCAAGTGATAAATTAAGGGACTTAAATATGAATTAGTAATAGAATGATGCAGAAAGATAACTTCTGGATATTCTAAAGTTTATAGGTCAGTTTCTCTTAATCTGATTATGTGCATATATGAAAATAACACATCTGTATACATGTAAAATCAAATAATCAGGCAATATACATTTAATAATTACTGTACTTGACAAAGGAAACTTAATTGTAAGGTGAAACCTGGTTTTATGAAACCAAAGACTAGTGCAGCATTTCAGTATATATAAGAATAAAGGGAATTGACATGTCACATAGCAAATGAATGGAAATTTAACTTTGTTGAAACTTAAAAAAAAAAAAACAAAAAAAACAAATTTATACCAAAGACTCCTATTGGAAACTACATAGCTTAAAACAAAGGGATTTTAAATGACTAAATTGGAATGATGCTGTTTTAACACTAAAAATTATTTCTTAGGCATTCTGAACCTGGGATGAGAAACAGAGATTGTTTCATAATAGCACATAATTTTTAAGGCCAAGGCACATTTAACTCCTGAGATGAATTCTTTGTGGTCATAATCATTTACTGAGTTGGATTGTGGGAATATTAATTTACTAGGAATTCTTCATAACAGTATCTTACAGAAAATATGTTCTCGTCACAGTATTGTGTGTAAAGTCATTGGTTTAAAGCACGAATGTTCCTTCTGGGATGCTTTTTAACACGAAATTTATTTTGCTTTCTTCCACTTAAAAGTGCTGCAAACTCTACAGCAGCTTCCTTTCTTTCCATGGCACTGCCTAGTTAACAGAAGTCTTATAAAAATATAAAAAGACACCTTTCATAAAAAAAAGTGAGAGTTGAATGAGGTAAAATGGCATTAGTTGGCCCTATATTTTTTAAAGCTACACAATTATTCAGCGTCACCTTTTCTAAGTCCTTATACATATCTAAACATGTCTTCATAGTTTATACTTTCACTTGTACATGCTGGGCTGGATTAAGCTTTGTTGTGATTGTGACCAATATTCAGGCCACATGAGCACTGTCTTACCACATCGCCAATTAGTTGTAATAAATGTTCAACGTACAAACACTGGAGTGCGTTTTTCTCTCTCTTTCCAAAAGTTTGTCAAACTATGGAGAGCTGCTGAAGGAAGAATTTTTAATTTTTTTCAGTGAAATGTTGAAAATTCCCCTCCATTTGAATATGGTGGTTGTTATAAGCACACACAAGATAAATGGTGGAAGAATCTAAGGAGTCTTCATGTACTTCAAGTTCATTAAAAACATGGATTCCATGCTGAGAGCTTATCTACACATTTATTTTCACTCAATAAATGCCGCTTTTAAAACCTGGATGCAGTTGACTTTTCTACTCTTTCTGAATGAACAACTCAGATTATCCTAGGTAATCAAAAGGTATTCCAAATCAACTGGATTCCTCTCCCCGCCCCACCCGCCATGAACTAGAGGTGCTAGCACACGCAACAGAAATGGACTAATATTTGCAGGCTGTACTGCCCAATGTACAACAAATCAACACTTTGGTTATCATGTTAAGGGACCTCCTGTTACTACAGATAGGAAATGTTACATTCTATAACTGGGATATTTAACAGCGAGGAAAGGACTACCATCAAGTTGCTAACCTACAAAAAGAATAAAAGGTAATTTATAGTTTTAAAGAGCCTTGGACATGCAGCTATAAACTGAAAACAGCCTGTGGGCCGTGGGCCTGTGGGCTTCTAATAGCAATGTAGAATTGGAATTTTTGAATCCTAAATAGTAATCAGGCAATATGTATAAAAACACATTAATAAATTTAAGTTCAAAATGGATATTTATCATGATAATGAACCAGTCAGTGGTTCAAAAACTTCCTACCCTCCCTCCCTACCACTGCCTGTTAACATTAGAGGGAAAAGTCATCAATATCTCAATTGTCCTGAGCTCAAGATGGTGGTTTTGTTATCCCTGATCCATTAAGATTATTCAGCTTTGCATACCACATTTAATTGCATGTTTGACTGTATTTAGAAAAGTATTGGAAAATAATTTAGTGATAATAATTCAGCATTAGTGAACCCAGATCGTTCCAGAAATTTTCAGTCATTTTTAGGGTGAAGCACGTGTTTAGAGTCTGGAAACAAATGAGAATTTTTAAAGTAAAATTATTCTGAATCACATACTTCATTTCTTTTATTGACTACGGATTAAAGAACTCTTTGACTGGTATCACACAGAAATCCCAATCTTTAAGAGATTTTTTTCCTATTTCATGTTTGTTGACTTTTCAGTATTTTGTGCATCTTTAAGTCCTTATGGTCCCAAGTCTCAATTGACAAATGTCACATACTCTGAAATTCAAGATCCCAAGTATGTCAATGGAAAGGAAATTATAAAAAATGTATAAGAAAGCTGGGGAGCATCTTATTTATGATCTGAAATCTGGGGATGATATTTTGCCTGAAACTTTTCCTACATTTTATTCTCTAACCACTCTTCTATGATTTTTATACCAGAATTGCTTAAACACTAGGCATGTTCAGTGGCAATGACCCTAATCTTCCTGGAAATGACAAAAGTTACCTTTACCCCATATAAAAAACTTTCTACCAAACTGAAAAAGGTATACCATGACAGCTCCCAGCTGAAGGGGTTCTGCATATAGAGGGTAAGTGGAAAAAAATTGACTCCATCCTTTAATATTTTAAAACAGAAAATGAATTTTAAAGTGAAAACTGTTCAGCTACTGCATGTAGAAAAATCCAATATATTAGTAAGTACATACAAGCTGGGTGCAGTGGTGCACACCTGTAGTCCCACAGCTACTTGGGAGGCTGAGACAGGAGAATTGCTTGAGCCCAGGGGTTCAAGGCTATAGTGTGCTATGACTGCACCTGTGAATAGCCACTGTGCTGTAGCCTGGGCAGCATTGTGAGGCCCTGTCTCTTAAATGAAAAAAAAAAATAGGGCAAACAAGAATCCATGGCCATTAAATATACAAACATACAAAATTTACCAAATTGGCAAAGATTAAAATAACTTGGTATCATAGGAGCAGCAAAGTTTATTATTGATACAGTAAATTTTCTATAGTCTTCCAGAGGGCAATTTGCAAATAGTATTCATCTCCCATGATGTAATTTATCCTAAGGAAATGATCAGAAATATGTGGAAATACTTAAGGAAATCCATCAAAGGATTGTTTTCAGTACAGGATTCTTTAATAGTGCAAAATTTAAAATTCAACAATAAGGATATGGTTGAATAAATTGGTAGATCCACACTATGCAGTGAGTAAAAATAAGAATAGGGCTTGATGAAATATGACAATGTTTTTTGTGGAAAAAAGCATATTCAACTGCAGTCATATGATCTTTGTGTAAAAAATGTGTATACAGCCACAAGAAAAAAAGAAAAGATTAAAGGAATGTTCCATTGTTAAGTGGTTCTTTCTCAGGGCTACAATTACGAGTAATTTTAAGGTTGTTATTTATACATTTTATGTTTTCTAGGTTTTCTATTCTAACCATTCTTTGTGATTATCAGAGAATAGAAGTATTTTTGAACAGATTTCAAGGCTATATAGGGTTCAGCCAGACTTGAGAACCCATTTGAACTCACAGCCCTCTATCGGAGTGTGTAGCAGCCATAATAAATAAGATACACAACCATTTAAGAACAAAACAGGTTTATTTGGATTTGGGACTCTGAGTAGTTCTGTCTCTACTGTCTGACCTCCTCCTACCACGACTCCTGGACCTAGAGGAGCTCTGGCTCCGGCTCCGGCTCCGTCGGATCCTGCGGCTCTGGCTCCGGCTGCCCCAGCCCCGGCTACGGTCCCTTTTTCTTCCTCTACTTCGTGAACGGCGCCTCTCACGACTCTTTGACATGTGTTTGTGAGATTTCTTCCCCCTGTGACTACTTCTCCTTTTCCTCTCAGATTCCCCATTTCTCTTGTAGGAGTGGTCTGGACTGGGGCTTCTCCTCCTCCTCAGCTTGTCATAGTATTCGTCATGGTGGCCCATCCTCTCTCTCCTCTCCAAGTTCTTACCAAACGAGGAGCCAGTCCGATCTGGAGACAGGTACATGTCTCTATTAGCTTCCCAAAATTCATTATTGGGATTTCTGAACACATGAAGAAAGTTGCAGTGTTTTCCTCTTGGACACTGTTGTATCTCAAATAAACCTGCAATGGCACAGTGATGAAACAGCACTTATTACTGTGTACTCTGAAAATGGTACTTTATCCTTTTCGGAAGGTACATTTCTTTTTTTTTTTTTTTTTTTTGGAGACAGTGTTGCTCTGTCACCCTGGGTAGAGTGCAGTGGTATCAGCCCAGCTGACAGCAACCTCAAACTCCTGGGCTAAGGTGATCCTCCTTCCTCAGCCTCCCGAGTAGCTGGGACTACAGGCGTGTGCCACCATGCCCAGCTACTTTTTTCTATTTTTGGTAGAGATGGGGTCTCGCTCTTGCTCAGGCTGATCTCGAACTCCTGAGCTCAACCGATCCTCCTGCCTCGGCCTCCCAGAGTGCTAGGATTACAGGCGTGAGCCACTGCATCCGGCCCCAGAAAGTCCATTTCTGATGTTTGGATATGTTAGAACTATTTCCCACTGTGTATTATTTAAAAGGGGCTTTTATAAATTGATGTTATAGTTTTGTTTCCAGAATTTCAAAAGTGCTCTAACAAATGGCACTCTGAAAGGCAACAATTCAGAAGTTTTAATTAACCAGACTATCCCGTGCCCCTATTGGATTATGGTGCAGAGTGAAACTGAACAAATGGTGACCACATTATCTTTCTTAGGGTTCCACCATCCCACTGACTGCCAATTTAGGACCCCTAATTAACATTGAAGATCCAGCCTCTGGGGTCCCTGTGGTCACATGCTTTGAGGGCATGGTGGTGGCAGGACAGAACCACTGGTCAAAAGAGAAGGCCCATTATAGCTGGAGAAGCCTGTATTTTCTTTATACTTTGTGAATAAGATGATAAACATTGGCCTGATGCCTTAAATTTACCAAGTGCTTTTAATATGGAAGATTCTTGTCAAAGGTGAAATCCCATTCAACAACTTTGAGATCTTTTTGGGGTTTTCAAACTTTTTTTTAAAGCAATAAATTCCCCAAATATGTATAACAGTTAAAAGTAAAATACCTCCATACCACACACTATATACAAAAATTAACTGAAACTGGATCAGAGACCTAAATGTACGAGATGAAACTATAACTCTGAAGAAAACATGTAAGTAAATCTTCATGACACTGGGCTAAACAATGGCGTCCTAGATGTGATAACAAAAGCACAAGCAAAAAAAACCCCAAAAAGGTAAATTAGACTTTATTAAAATTTAAAACTTGTGCTTCAAAGGACACAAAGTGAAAAGACAACCCACAAAATGGGAGAAAATATTTGCAGGACATATTTGTGATCAGGTTCTTACATGCAGCATATCTTAAGAACTCTTACAACTCAATAGAAAGACAAATAACAAGAAAGAAATGGGCAAAGGATCTGAATAGACATCTCTCCAAGGAAGATATACAAATAGCTGATAATAAGGATATGAAAAGATGCTCATTAGTTACTAAAGAAATTAACAAAGCTGTAATTTTTTTAAAGAACATGAAATAGTCTCCTGCTTTGGGGAAGTCAAAACCATACTCAGAAGCCCCTCACTGAAATCACACTGAATTGCCAGGAACTGACAAAAGTAACTGCTTTTATGGAGGAAAAAAAATTCATCTCTCTCATCCTCCAAGCCTTTAAACTTAAGGTGCAATGGTTCTTCTGATTTTTCTAAGCAGGAATCGTAAAATCTTCTTTTAAAATGTCAACATTCACAAAGACAAGGCTGCCAAAGATCCAGACTTTATAAATTATGTTTTTTAATAAGTGGTTTTAAGCAGTTGAGCGTAGAGCAAAGAAACACAAGTAAAGGCTAAGGTAAGTGTTCCACTGAGGCATTTAGAGGTTCATCTCTTCACCTGGGGAACTTCCGCAAAAGTTTAGCTAAGCCCGGGCGGTAGAAATCAGAAAATAACCAAGCCTTCAAAGCTGTTGGTTACTCTCCGCACAAGATTGAATCATTTCCTGATTTGGCTGCCACCGTCCGATGAGTCAGTCAGACTGAACGCACGCTTAACTGATCCCATGCCTACGGTCAGCCTCTAATGCACAAAAGCACGTATTTCAAGTAAGGCGGGAAATGCTATAGGTAAGGTAACGTAGGGTGGCAATGATGACAGAAGATTCATTAGGAATAAAGGCAAAAAGAAAGAAACAAATACAGCTCAAGTGAGGAGAGCCAAGGAATAGAAAACGCCACAAAACTGCGACAAGGAAAATGTGGCTTCCTATAGACACAACTTCTCAGGCTTCCTGAACTGTCAGACACAGAGCCCAGGACTGAGGATCAGAACACTGGAATTCTAGCCCCAACTCTGTCACTGATATGTTGTGACCTCAGTCACCTCATCCACAAAGTGACCCACAAAGTCAGTTACAGATCTAAAGTGTGGTGTTCTTTATATAAAAATCTCTGCTCACCTACTGCGTGAGGCAAAAGCTACGCTTCACCCCTTTAAAAGATTGTTTTTTCCTGAAGCATATCCCTTTATATGAATAGTGGAACAATTGGGGAAAAAAAATCATCACGTTGTCTTACCACAAATTGCCATTTTCCACCGAGTCACTGGGCAGAATTCGCACTGAAGCTGTCGTCCTGCATACCAACGCCCGTTAAACAGAGAAAGGGCTGCTTGGCACTCTTCTTCCCTGTAAACCAAAAATCAAAGGATGTGCTTTCCAGTTACTTCCTACTATGTAGATTAACCTTATTATCAATTAACCCTTTTATTACTTTATTGTAAGACCACCAAGTTCATTGTTTTTGTATTACCTAGGGAGTCCTCATTAGAGTATTCCAGCTCCCAAAGCTCACAATTTATTTAGGAACCCTTTTTGCTAAATCTTTGAGGGGTTTTGATGCATGGAAATTGGCTTGAGTCAAAGCTTCTTACTCTAAAAGATTGGACCATTAAAAATGCAGAAGTGTCTTCCATTATTAGAGCCTATTCTTTCCCAGCTAGGATTGCTGTTCTTCTTATTACAATGGTTAACTTAACCCATTAGCCACAGTGCAGTCCAGGCAAACTGTACAACACGCAGAAATGACTCAGTAACTGCTCTCTTAGCTGCTCAAAGGCACACTAGGATGATTTTTGGGCATCAATTTCTGGCTCTTTTGATTTATACTTTTATATTCTCTACTCTAGTTATCCCTTTTCAGTTTATATTTTAATTATTAAAATTACATAAGTAATAATATAACCATACTGTAAAAGATTCGAAACTATGTAAGTGTATAAAGAATGGAGTACAAATGTACTATTTTCACATCCCTTCTATATTTCTGCATCAACTTTTCCCCCCGCCCCACCCTGCCCCATCAACTTTTTTTTTTTATTTCAGGATATTATGGGGGTCCATCAACTCTTAATATTTACATTTTTAAAAATACCATGGATATGAAAGCTATATATCCAGTGGAAAAATTCCAGATGTCAACAGAAACAAAACACCATGCTATGACAAGACAGGAAGATGTTCCTGTTCAGAATACTTACGACTGGTACTGAACATACACGTTGCCCCTCAGGTGAGGCTCCAAGTTGCAGCTGACCTAAGGAGCAGTGAAGAATGCTGTCATAAAAAACTCAGGAAAAGAAATCAGTCAGCTAGCAAATGCACTCCGTCCAGACTAACACTCCCAAAAGTAGTCACCAATCAAAGATTCCAAAATAGGGATAACTAGCCCACTCTTGCATCTATTTCAGGCATACTTCAGCACATAGCAGTGCTGCAGGCCCTAATCATCTGATCTCTGTTAATCCAGGGTTGCTTTTTCACAAATATGAAATGTTTCACATATGCATAACAATACAAAGAATATTGACCAGCCTGTATATATACTATCCAGATTTAACACTAGCATTTTCTATTTTTGGTTGAGAATGTTTAAATAAGTAAAACATTAAGGACCCAGTTGAAGCCCTTCCATCCTATTCTCCCATCTCCGTCACACAGGTGAGCACTATCCAGATGCTGAGTGGAGGCTTCACATTCCAAACACAAACACATGTGCACATATACATACAGAAATCTACAGATGCAAATGTAGACACACAGGCATATATACATGTATCATATGCATGCCAAAACATATATGTATCATACATATAAATGTATGTCTATCATGTATAATGGGTGTACACATATTTATATATACATATGCAAAGAAACACATGTATTGATAAGCAACACATAGTATTGTTTTGTATGTTTTAAAATTTTATAGTGTTTATTCCATTTTTTTCAAAATGTAATCACGGAAACTAAATGACTCATCTTAACCTTCGTATACTAGATATATCAAATTATCAAATTTATTTTTCCACTCCTCTAATGATGGCTGTCCAAGGTGCTTCCAATTTTTCATCCACAAATAGTGCTGTGGTCAGCATTCTTGAACAGGTCTCTGTGGGTGTAAAGATCTCTCTAGTGTACATAACCAGAAGGCGCATGCCGATCCATATGTTATGTGTGCCTTCTACTTTACTAGGTATTGACGAACTGCTCTCTGAAGTGGTTTTTCTAATGTACGCATCCTCACCTATTCTTGGTATTGATAGAATTTATAATTTTTTGCCTGATAGGTGTGAATAATATCTCCTTTTCATATGCAATGTTCCTATTACCAGTTAGGTTGACTACTTGATCATTTGCTTACAAAAATGACAGATCTGATCTGTTTTCATATGATAGTATAGAAAAAGGTCCTCAAATATTCATGCTAGTGTTTAGCTTTTATCTTCAAAATGAATCTATACTTTTACGAATTGGTTCCAGAGTATTTTTATTAGGGTAGCTAAAAAGGGGCAGGAGCCATACTCAATGACAGTTTGTATCACCATCCTTAGAAGGAAAGGCCTGGGGAATCCGTGTCAGTGTGCAAGGGACCTTAGACATCATTTAATCCAGTGGTTCCCAAAGACTCATTAATTTTCCATGATGAATTTGATGCTCTGAAAATTTTCCTACGAAAAATTTACTAAATAGCTTTCCATTTGTAACTGCCAATGTGACTAGCATGAGCTTGGCTGATGGAATTCTACACAAATTAGTTTGTGGTTAGTGGGTGCAGCTTGTTGCAGGTAACAGTGCCATTTCCATTAACCAGTCTGAAGTTTTGAAAGCTGCTCCAATGCTACCCCTTCACAGAAGCAGTATAATCCAGGGACCCCGTGAGGGAAACCACTGATGTGATTTAGTCCCCTCATTTGGGATACAAAGAAAAAGCCTGAAGAGGTAAAGTGCCATGTTCGAGAGCACAGGGCTAGTCAAACCACGCTGCCCCCTTGGCAAGCCAGCGCTGCCAATGTGGATTGCGTGGGTGTGACCAAGCATTTCCACTTTAGTGGTTATTGCTTGTGCTGAGTAGTGCAAAGACAGGAAGGCACACACCACAGAAACAAAAGGTTAAGGGGGAAACAAATTTAAAAAGCATTTTTAAAAATCTTGAAATCGGTTGCTAAAAGTATAGCCTTGAATTTCATGAATATCTCTGTTCCTTGGGTGTTCCAACTCTCCACTGTCATTTCCAACTAGCAGAAAAAAAATACGGATTTATTCCTGTCTTGTCTCAAATTATGGGACATTTTTCCCTGCCCTAACATAAGGTCATTCAGGTTCAGATCTGATGAAATCAGACAAGGTAGGAAGCTTCACTATGCTAGGATTCAACTAATGGGTCCCGGGAGCAGCAGGGATTACATCTGGCCTTACCCTGCTTGCCTTAAGGAATATTCTAAAATAATTATTTGTCATTTGAATGCTTTTTTAGCCCAGTATGGTGCATCACAAACCATGGCTTTTGGCATACAATGTTCGGTACTGAAAGCATCCAATGAATAAAAACAAGGTAAAAAAAAAAAAAAAAGGAATCTGGCTTTATGTTCTTGTGCAGCTCCAGAAGAAAGAACGTGCACCTTGGGTAAACACTGCAAGCAGGCACTGTCGACACAGTGCGCCAACAGACTCAGTGAGTGGAGTTGTGTCACGCTCTGTACACTGCAGCTGTAGGGGAGACGCCTGCAGAAGAAGGAAGGCAGTGCACCGTCCATCACATGCAGCTTTTAAGTGAAGGGTTGGATGGCTCTGTGCAGAGGACCTGCTACAGAGAATTCATTTGATGGAAAAGAGCTGGAACACAAAGGTATCAGATAAATGAAAGATCCTTTTCAGTCTAGACCCTGGCATTCAGGAAATAATGGGGTGGGGTGGGGTGGAAAGGGAGAGAGGGGGGAAGTCACATTTCCAAGTGCCTGAGTGCCCAACCCCAGGCCAGGCACGTACCATCACACACGGCACCACCCAGGTGAACAGCCTATGTCCTGGCTCTCTCATGCCATTGAGTACTGCAGGATGAAGCAAACCAGTCCCCTCCTCTACATGCATGCCCACCTTGAACTGAATCACTTTCCCCACATTCTTAAACTCGGGGAGCACATCATCATAGAAATCTAGGAACTGCTGGTAGGTTTCCTCTTCGCTGTACTCCAGGCTTGAGTCAGGGTCATAGTCGTCTCTCCTGCACTGCTCCATTCCAAACGTTGTGAACATGCTTTTAATAAGAAGGGTGGGACTCGATGCTGGGAAATTATGTTTACGTGAACACCTGCATATGAAAGAAAAACTTAAATTCACTAGTCCAATGTTAAAAATTACACATAAAAGGTCTGCTTTAAACTTTGAGATAAAGATTCAAGCAACTTAGTTGTTTTGACTTAACTGTAAGATAATAAATCCCACTCAGATGCCAAGTTTCAGCACTTAAGAAAACTGTTTTAAGACTGACCAATATATTGGCTCTCATTAAAATGTCAAGTTGGGAATGATTTCTAAGTTCATATGCCATTCAGTTGCCTTTGAAGTTCAGGAAGTTCAGGAAGCCTTATATATGTTAAACCATGGGGAAAAAGGAGGCCCATTGGCGTGACAGGGTTTGGTGACAAGGCACGAAGATGCCACACATGGGACTCCTGAGAGGAAGGCAGGAAGTCACAATGCAATCCTGGTCCTGTGCAATCTTCGATGAACTCAGATGCTTGGAGAATAGGGCCATTCAAGAATTTCTAGTTAATGGAGCATTTCAGTCTCATCTATGTACAGAATTTTATAGTGTTCATGTCATTGTTACATTTTTTTTTCTTCTAATCCTTGTAACCTGTTAGGACAGTTGGTGCTAGTATTTTACCCACTTTGCAAAGAAGGAAGCTGAGGCCTAGAGATGCACACTTGCTCAAGCCATGCGGCTGGGAAGAGATGGACCCAAGAGATCTGCATTAACCTACAATCTGGTGCCTGTTCATTATAAGGCATAATAAATATACTTCAGTTGTTGTTTAATGAAGGTGGCTAACCATTATGAAGAACAATTTTCGTTGTTTAAATTGGACCAAGGCTAATCCAACCAGGTTGTGCCTGGGTAATGTTTCAAAAATTCTTTATATGAGTTTACTTTCTTATTTATGTCCTTCTCCTAAAATAAAATGAGAAAAACAATGTAGTTTGAGGTTCCAAATAAACAAATTTTCCTGCTTAGTTCCTAGTTAAAAATCAGTAAGACAAAATTTTAAGGAAAAAAACAAATCCACAGAACTTAGGGAGAAAGAAAGTTGAAGAACAGGACATGTATTGAAAAAAAAAACATGGCCCTGAAATGACTAAATGTTTAATCACACTCACTTTCTATATCTGTAACATACACCCAGGCACATATTGAGATCACGCAAACAGAATGCCCAGCATACACCGTGGCCAGTTCAAAAATGTTCAATTGATGTTCATTAATGTAAAATTTTCTATTTTCCAAATGACCTCCTAGATTATTCAATTAGAAACCTTGTAATTAGCTCCATCTTCCCAACTACCAACAGAATAAAGAGTGAGGATTCAACCTGGCTGGCAACATTAGCAGCAAATCAAAACTTTACAAATAAGAAGCACATACAGAATTAAATGAGGAACTAATTTATTGAGGTTAAAATTCTGATCACGGGATTCTTAGATCTGAATGAACTTGGCCCTAGTTGCCAGGGGTATCAAATGAGTATTTGTCAATTTTGGAACAGAGCCCACGTCCCTGTCTAGGGAAAAACCCCTCTTGACCTGGAGACGATCCTTATAATCTGAATGTATACAAAAGGCCAGCCCTACAGTTCCTACTGAAAAGTCAGCTAAAAGCAGTAATACTTAGGAAGGCAGTCTAAAGCTGTGTGGGTGTCAGAATTACCTGGGAAGAATGGAGATTTCCCAGTCCTGTCCCAAATCATCTGACCAGACCTCAAGGGATGGGAGACCCATATTCTCAAAGTAGCTCCCTACCTGATCCTGAAGATCAGCTGTGTTTGGGAACCACTGATTTAGGGCATACCAGTTGCCCATTAACTCTAATACTTGAATCAAGGCAGACTGCCACAACACATGGGTAGACATTACCTTAGACCGAGGATGGACAATAAATGGTGTGAGTATCCAAATGCCCCCTCAGGTATAGCTAACTGACTACTCCTCTTTGTCTTCTTCTCAAGGGAGCACTCCTGGTACCCACTGTCTTTGTTCTACAGAGAATCCCTGCATTGCATGCTAAAGTTAGGCTGCATTTATCGAAGGTCACTGTAAGAAACATTCCATGAAAATTACATACGTGACTGTTATAAAATACCTATCAAAGTTCTTGTCCACCTTCCTATTTAATGCTCTTATATAACATTCTATGGGAGAAATGTTTAGAATCTAGTGCCAGGAAAATCTTTTGTCTTTCCAGAGATACCACTCATTCTTCCTTTTTGGTAAGAACTATAGCTTATTATCTGCTTGGAATGCATTAAAATTCAGAGTCAAAAGTGTTGCAACATTCACAATAACT